AAAAATTTTCTTCTGAAAAAACTCGATGTCGGCAGTCATACAACAGAAGAACGGTTCCGGTTCCTTTAGCGGTTCCTTGGGAATTTTTTTTACGGTTCCCGGTCCGGTTCCGGTTCTGAGAAATTTTTAAAAAGCGGTTCCGGTTCGGTTCTCGGTTCCAGATTTTGTGGAACCGCAGACCTCTATGATAGACACAATACTTTAATGCCTGAAAAAATGGGTAAAAAAATCAAATTTATTGATAAAAATTAGTTTTAATATTAATAATATTTAACATTTTATATATTTTAACAGCAGAAGTTTCTATCTTGATGAATCAATGAAATAAGTAACGAATCATTTAGATAATGAAGTTAATATAGTACCTTGTATTATAAGTATAGCTTGACAAGTATACTTTTCCTTGTAGATAGAGTTTCTTGAGTTACTCATTATATATATCAATGATGATATAATCACATGACTATATTTTTAAATTAAAAAAAAAAGTTCAATTTCTTTCTGTACTCAATACCTTCGTGTTTAGTTTAGTTCTAATTACTAACTATTGAATGTAAGATCAAATATGGATTTCAATTGATCCTTCATAATCGAACTCATGTCTATGTTTCATATTGTATTATAGAACTATACTTTAGTAAGATTTTTCTTTTTAATTCTATTTTAGTACTAAATGTGAAACAACAAATAAAAATAATGTAACAACATGTTCCGATAAATTTGAAACACCACTTCGACGAGTTCCATCTAAAAAACGAGTTCGACGTCTTTCAACAACAACACCTGATATAATTGAAAGAAAAAAATCTAAAAGTGCACAAGAACTCAATGTTAAACAACATGAACGACATTTTCATCGACGACTTGCATCAAATTTTCTTGATCGTGAAGCTACTGTTGATGAAACATTTTCTAATATAGTATCATCCGATGAAGATGAAAATGATGATGATCATCATAATAATAATCTAAATGAACATGATCATTTTATTGATGATCGACAAGTTCTAACACAAATGGCAAATATTGATATGAAAAGTGTATATTTAAAAAGTATAAAAAGTCCAAAAGTTAATTTCCGTCCACCACCACCACCGATTTCAATTGAAGATATTTATTCACAATTACCAAATATGACAATGCATGAGGATAATTATGATGAAGATGATAGTTTTGTTGATGATACAACACAAATAACAGATGATCATCATGGTGAAGTTGATTTAGATGAACTTGCAAATATTCTTGGTACTCAATCTGTTGTACATCGTCAAAGTAAAGTAACAAGACGTGGAGTTAAATTTGGACGAACATCAGAAACCACAACACCTAGACGAAAAACAACACGTCGTGTTCAAATAGCACAAAGTCCTATGTAGTTGTTCATTTAATATCTTTATTGTTTACTGTACATTATAACTATATTTTTCTTTTGCATTACAATTTTTTTTTTGTGCTGATATATTTTCTTTTTTTCTTTTCTTCTTGTTATCTATGTATCGTTTTATTTATTACAAAAATGATCTACAAAACGTTGCAGACTACAGTTAAATAAAAAAGACAACACTAAGCAGAATAAATTATTGAAAAGTAAACTTTGGCTTTCTTTCTTACAAAAATTATTTTTTACTTAATTTTAAGAAAAGTAAGATACTTTTATAGTCTCGTAACTTTATATAATGCAATATAAATATTATTCGAAAACCATTTGATTACAAAAGCTTTTAGTACATTCTTTGTGAGATTGAAATGTGAAATATGATGTAGCTGCAGATGTTAATCACAGGAGAATACTTTGGTCAATCTATTGTGGGACATATATATCTTTTCATGATACGTTCACTTAATCTTCGTGAAATGCAATAATATTCATTTAATGCAAATATATTTATTTCTTCGTCTTTAATTTATCTCTTATACACTGAAAACATGACTATCAACGATATGTTTTTTTTTCTCGTCGATCATGCTGTACTGATTGCACGTTTATTTTGAATATTCCACATAGCCAAGGGTTATACCATCCTTATTCTCGTATCTTGACGGACGGATAATAAAAAAAGATAACTTGTCTTCGAGAATAAACATGTATAGCGGCGTTCTATAGAAAACAAAGAGAGAATGTGATCGAGGTCAATCGATACCGACGTATAGTTATGCATTTATACATATATATCTAACCATACTTTTTCTTTTCACGTCTTACATTTCTTCGTAGGCATTTTATTCGTATTACTATTCAGGCAAATTTATTGATTATGTCGAATACAACTTCGTCCAGCGCAAAATCATCATCAAATTCATCTCAAGTACATTCAGCACAAGCTGAAAATGTTGTTGTACAATCGGTTTTTCAATGTGAGACACAATCTAAAGTTAGCATTGCAAATAACAAGAAGATAGCAGATCTTATGGCACGTCTTGGTAAATTTCAAATAAAATAAAAATAAACAAAGATCTGTTACGTTTAATTTAAGGAACAACCTATCATCAAGTTGATAAATATGCACGTAAACGTACTGAAGAAATTAATGAAGCTGTTGCTGAATCAATAAAAAAGGTTGTTGCTGAAACACAAGTACAACAACAACAACTTCTTGCTGATGCGAATATGCGTACAAATGGTAACGTTAGTTTTTATTTGTTTATATTGTTTTTTTCTTAGTTTATTTCTTTTAAGAAATTGAAAATGAATTTAAATCGAGATTACAAGAATATGTTGCTAAAATTGATAATGAAAAAGCAGTTTTACTTGTTCAACTTGAAAATGATCTTGATATTCGACAAGAAGCTATACTTGAATCAGCTCGTAAACGTATTGACGATCTTAATTCAGAAGGCAGTCGTCTAAAAATGGTTAGTACAATATATAACGGATGACGCAGATTTAATGAGACATAATCATTTTCTTTATTTTGAACAATTCGATATTCGCTCTATGTTCAATTGACTAACTACGAATGTATAGAACGTCCTAAAGCGTTAAACACGACGAAATCATTGAGATTTTTCATCAAAAACAAAAGAAAAATTCTTCTTGGGTCTTCTATAAATTGAATGTAGTTCGATGAAAGAACCTCATGGAGAGAGACAAGACGTCTCATGTTATTCTATCAAATAAAATCATTTCCAAAAAGCTTCAAACGAATGTCAGAAAACGACTTTTGCAGATCTTGGTTTTCCAGACACTTGTACTTGGAGGCGAATACTACTGTACTCATACTTAAATACGAAGGATAGTGCTTTGTATTTTTTAGTTGCGATAGAAAAAAAAATTTTGTCGATAAGGTTGACTAGATCTGAGAGGATTTTAAAGACCATCGTAAGGTATTCTGATGAACAAAACATGGCACTAAAAATATTTTTACTCTGATAACTAAGTCAAACGAGTACCATCATTTTCAGATGTCCACCATAATTTTTAAAGGAATTTGAACAATGAAGACAGATAGCTTTTGAAGGAGATATAAAGTAAAGGTATCAGCGTACCAGAGTAGAAATTTTTATTAAAATATTTTTTTTTTCATGTTTTGCTCATCTGAAGATATTATGACGATCTTTAAAATTCTATCAGGCCTAGTTTATCTTATTGACGAAATTTTATTTTATCTTTACTCCAACATAAAGGTAAAAAGTCTTATTTTTCGTACTTAACTATAAGTACTTTGTACTTATCTTACCTCTGCTTGTTGTATAAAACATTTATTCTCATACGATCGGATGTAGAATTTTATTTTGAACAAAATTATGCAACTACTAAATTGAAGATTTAAAACGATTAAGTTTCTTGAATAAAAACAACAGTCATATAATCCTTTTTGATAAAGTTATTTTTAAGTGCTTTCTCATTTTTTATCTCTTGCAAATATTTCTTTTAAAATTCTGACACATTCATTTAAAGGTAGAAACTTTTGTAACATGTTTGAAATCTTAGATGAACGTTTAATAAAAAATTTTGCATCACCTTTCTTTCGACTATCGCAGTTAAACAATGAAGCATACATTAATCTATTGTATTGTGTTTCAACAAGAAAAAGTTATTCGAAAACTAAGGTTAATAGTATTCTATAGTATGAAAACTTCTCTATCGAATGAGTTATAAACTAAATTCTGAAAATCTGTCGAAGTGTTTTTGTTCTATTTAATCTTCGCTACCTGTTATATTCTTTTATTTTGAAATAAACTTTATCATTTGTTTGTTTTTCCTTCTAGAATATTCTTAAAGAATGTCAAGCTCAAAGCAGTGCAGAAATTAGTAAATATCTCAAGTTATTAAATTTCATTTATTATTTATTCTTTTTATAATAGCAAAAATCACTGAAAAAGTTGCTGCTCTTGAACACGAAGATGCTTCACGTCGTCTTGCATCAACCACTACAACAGTATATTAATTTTCTTTTTCTTTTGTTTGTTCACAATCATTTTTATTTTTTTTTTCACAGACTATTACAACTAAGGCAGTAGCTGCCTGTGACACTCATGCTCATGATCATTCAGGAACAAATGGTAAATCAACAACACATGTTGAAACATTGAACTTATCAAATAGCTCATCATCAACATCTGAATCTCGTCAAAAATAAATTAGAAAATAAAACTTTTTGTTCTTATTTTGATTATATTCATCAATAAACAAGCAGATTTAGAAAGAAAAAAAATTTGGTTTTTTTTCAATTTTGAAATTTTATTCCAAAAGAAATTGGATTTGAAATAATAATCGATTTTTCTTTCTAAACTACTAAAAGATTGTCCCACACTTGAACTTTGAAGAAAACACTTGATAGATAAACGAAATGAAGAGAGAGCCTTCGCTTACTTCACTTATCGTATGAACATAGTTCGTCTCTTTTTTCTTCTACTTGAAACGATTATCAATAAACAAACGAGACAAAAGATATTGTAAAATGTCAATGAATACATCTGTCTTATCAGTGACCATATAAAAACCACAGTTCACTAGAGAAATTTCATTGACATCAACTTCCAACATTCAGTCCATCATGAATACCAAGTATGACTTTTCTTTTAGCAAAAACGAAAAAGAAGGTCAACAAAATATATTGACGTTCTTATTTTTTTTCCTTGTACAGGTTTTTAGTATTCTTCGTTGCTTCAATTGCTTTATGGCAAGTAGCAAAAGCACTTGTTATTAAAGATCAAGAATCAGTGACTGATGGTGATGAATGTAATTTATTTTATTTCATTTCATTCCATTTATCGAATGGTTCTTTTTTTTGTTTTTCTTTTAAATAGCTGCACCAGTCGTTGTCAATACTGTACCTACTATTGATGATATGGTATCTTCAACAGTTGCAAATAACGAAGGTAAAAAATTAGCTGTACAGTCAGATGAAGACGAAAAAAATGACACATTAAATGCTAAAACTGACGATGATGATTTAAATAAAAGAAATAGTGAAGAAGATATATTAACATCTACAGTAGACACAAACGAAGCGGTTCAAACACCTTTAAGTGATGACAAGGACACTAGCAGTGTCAAGTCAGTCATGGAAGAAGATGAAAAGAAAACACAGTCGGAAGAAACACCAAAATCATGTGATGTTAATGATGAAGAAACAACCATATCAACTGCCGAAAAACATTCTCAACCCGAGGAAGTAGACGAAGAAGAACAAGATGATGTAATAACAAATGATGATGACCATGATACTACTGACTGATAATAACTTGTCAATCTTGAGTATAACTCATTTTATTTCTTTTTTTTTTCTTTCTCTGTAGGTTTGTTAACTCTAAAATGTATGTAGTCGTGCTTGAGAAGTGTAAAATAGTTGTCGCAAACGTAAAAAATGATGATTGAAATCAATCATCCGAAAAGAAGAAACAATTATTCATATGAATCCATGTATGGAAAAATTCAATGAACTTGGATATTTCAGTTATTTTTTTCTCGTACAGCTTCAACTGTATATCCAAAGCATGTCATTTTTGTATCAACTATAGTACATACATTATGGTGATTGTTTGTTTTTATTCGAACTCTATCTCTTGTAAATTGAAAGCTTTCAAGAAATATCTCTACAAACATTCCTGTTTTTTTAAAAAAAACTAAACTTGAATAATGTGAATGATTAGTATTATGCATGTACTATAACTGGTACATAAACCATATTTTTCGGATATGTGGTTGTGGTTACAGGAGAAAAAGTAACAGATCTACCCTACTTGACTGGTTATCTCAATATGTGTATGTAAATTCTCCTGATAACAGATTACTTCATGTTGTTACAAATAAATCAACTTTGGATCTTTTTACATTACATTTCAATAAAAATATATCATTATATTTGTTTCCGTTTATCAAATTGGTTTTATGCGACTCAATATGCAAACTAATGATTCTGTTAGATTCATGCATAAATTTCTTTTTTTTTTTTCGATATTTTTTTTCTGTTTCTGATCGATAATATAAAAGAGACAAGAACTAATGCATGGTGACACCTTTTAAAATCATTCATGCATTCACTTTCTTATTTATCTGTCTATTGTTATTACACGTGCATTCATTTATATGCATTAAACACAGAAAGAGGAACATATTATCACAAATACTTTTTAAATATCTTATATCAAGGTAAGTGATGGTTGATTGACTAAGAATATGTTCATTTTTTTAAATCATCCGTGATGAATCTTAGTTCACTTTTTTTCGTTATAACAGTATAAAAGAATGCCATTGCTCAAATCAGGCGATAAACATCAGAATGATTTAGCAACAACTAAGACTTCGTCTTTATCATCATCTCGTTCAATATCATTAATACTAAATATTATTTTATTTCTGGCTCTATGTGTATTCATTGTATGCTTATTACGTGTTCTTATTTATGAAGAACCTATTTCTAAAAAACCAGCAAGTAAATTACCAATACCTCATCAATCTAAGAAACATAAACATATATCACGTAAAGAATATTATTATGATTATGAACCTTATCTTAAGGATGTAACATTAAAACGAACAAATAGAACTCGTCGATTTTTTTATATTGATCTTGGATGTTTTGATGGTCGTGATATGGATTATTTTTTACATTTTCATTTAGCAGCTATCACACGTTTAGGAAAACCTTATATTATTGCATTTGAACCTGACCCAATAAATTTTTCTGCTTGTAAACTAACACAACAACGACATAAACCAATTCAAGGAACAGTTTATGATGTTGCTGTTTGGACTGAAAATGGTCAAATACGATATGCAACAGAAAAAGGACAAAAATCTAAAATAGATTCAAATTCAGCATTATATGTTCGTTCAGTTGATTTTTCAACATGGCTGACAGAAAATCTTCTTATGGATGATTATGTTTACATTAAGTTTACAATTGAAGGAGCTGAAATACCTATTTTAGAAAAAATGGTTCTTGATGAAAGTTTAGCATTAGTTGATCATTTGGAAATTGAATGGCATGATGGATTGTCACCTGATTTCGAGCCAAGACGTATTGCACTTGAATGTATGTTTGACAATTTTGGAATGGATTTTTTATATATGATCAATCCAGTTGATTTAAGACATGCTTACAATATAAAGGAGAACTTTGAAAGTGTACCGAAAGATAGAGGATGGTATATTTTATAAAATACGATCACTGATTTTCATTTTCAATTTGTATTTTCTTTTTTAGGAAATTAAAAGATCCAATGGCTCGTTTTTTTTATAAAACTCGAAAAGAAGTACCCGATTTATTAATTGAACGATTAAAAAACAACCAAAGAAAACTTCCTTCTATGGAACAAGTCAATAAACTCTAGTCATTCTCATCATCCTCATTATTCTTTTTTTATTAATATTTATATCATAACATCAAATGACAATAAGCAAATAAACGAAAAACAAAGAAGAAAAAGAGGAAAAAGTTTGATCCACAACACACAGTGATAATAAAATGAGAAAAGCAGAAATGATATAAGATCAATTTGAAACTGCACATTAAAAAAAAACTTTTTGGTGTTTTTTCTTTGTTCAATACCAATTACGATGTAAATGACGTGCTAAATTGCCAATCATATACTTGATCAAATAAATAAATAGCACCATATATCTTAGTCATAAAGTAACACAACCTTGCTTTTCTTTAAATGGATTTTCTCTTGCAAATCCAGCCCATCCACGAACTAAAACATCTCCACTTTCATGATCTTGACAAAATTTGATTAAATCTTTGCATACAATCGACACTTTAACACGTTCAATATTAGCTTCAGCTCGTAATTGTTCTACTAATTTTTGTTTATTAGCTATTGTCGACATTGTAAAATCTATGTCCGTTTTAATAAGTAATAAAATAATAAGCTTCAACTAGACCTGCTACTTACGATTTATCAAAAAGATTAATAAGAAAAATTTTAATCTACAAGAAAAAAACAAATTAAAGCAAACTTGAAAAGCTAGAGTAAATGAGTATAGTGTTACGCATCCATTTTTTTTTTCTTCTCAGTGTGTAACTGATGAACGTTCACAGGTTTCCATTTTTCTTTTTCTTCATCGCCTGTTTTTTCTCAGTCAGAAAGAACAGAAAGGTGATCATTTTTTTTTTCTTTCTTTCTTTCTTTCTTTGAGACAGGAAGTTAGACAAACGAACAATGAGGTCATTTTTCAAAACTATAGCATAGCTTTCTTTTGCCTATGTTCTTTTTTTTCTTTTCCTTGTGACGTCACATCATTGACAACGCCGTAAGGGGTAATCTTTTGACGCTTATATTCATAGACAAATACGCACAAGAAAATTTTTGATGGCAATATATCACAATTATTTATTTCGTAAACTCACATCTTTTTTTTTTCTTAGGCCCTATTATCATCATCTGATCGAAAGAGCGAATAATAACTATCTATGTTCTATCATTCGTAATAATGACATTTGAACAAAAATGTCCTTTCTGTTTGTTCGATCAAGCATATGAAAATCTAAAATAAGAAGAAAAAAAAACATGAATAAAGAAAAGAAAGAACGTATTAATAATTATACATATAATGTTGACTATTTATTTCTTTTTACATAAATTCTAGAAATTTGCCCTTCCTCTTCTTTTATCTAATGTATGTATAAAAAAGACTTATTTTTCAAATATAAACTTAAACTATCACTCATTGATCTTAGTTATTTATGCACAAAACATAATATCTTGTTATTCCTTTTCTAGATAAACAAAGTCAAAGTTTCCTTAAAAAAATATCCGTTCTAAAACATTAAACATATGTTTTTAACTCAATATATAATTCAGTAATATGGAAGTGAATATCATCTACAAATATAAATAATTATTCTTGGCACGCTATTATAATAGGAATTATTCACTTAACAGAAAAGAAAAAGCAAGAAAAAAAAACTAAATATTATCTTGTATAGATATATTTTGGCACTTTGATCGTCGTATTTACACAAAAACCATTAATCAAACCACTATTCGCATAAATGTTATAAAAAAAAAGAAGAAAAATGCAAGAAATAATCATCATTCAATGAAAGTTGTAATTTGTTATTTTTTTTATCCCTAAAATCTCACTTAATCAATATGAAAGAAAACAATAAAACATATCACGAGAGATTTTTAGAGAGAAAGATAATTAAAAAAAAACAAAAAGCATAAGTAAATGAATTAGTAACCATATTTAATATCCTAGATATAATAAATGAACGAGATTCGAAAAAAAAAACATTTTTTATTATTTTATATCAATATTGTTCACTAGCTTGATAAATGTCGTGGTGCATTTGCAAACATAACTTTTAATTGATATGCTTCAGCTGTTAATATACTTATATCATTACTTGTCCATGAATGTGTTGGTAAATTTTGTAGAAGAAGTAAAATACCCTGATGAAGGTTTAAACATAACAAAAAAGAAGTAAAAAAAATGTTTATTCTTTTTTTACCTGAAAATCTTTTTCACGTAAAAGGTCTTTTGAAAAACGAACAAGAAATGATGCACATATATACAAATGAAATTGTGAAAATCCATTTTGTTCAGACTAGAAATAAATTTTCCTTAGTTTACTTATTTTTAATTTTCTTATAAAGAATAACATACAAGATATGTATCCCAAAGACGAATTGTACAACGTACAGGTAACTCACGCATAAGTAAATTATTCATCCAACGAAAAGCAAATTGTAAAAATTCGATATGTTGATTTTTTAAATGTCGATATAATGGTTCTAAATTAAAAACAAAAACCTCTAATTAAAACGAAAAAAACTTTTTCTTTTTTTCTTAACGTACCATCAATACGTTTAACAAGTTCTTCAAGTGTTCGAACTTTATATTGTATACCGGGTTGAGCAAATGTATAATTATCTTGAATACCTTCGAGTAAATGTGATGTAGCCCAATAACTATCAGCTTCAACAATTTTTCGATTTGTTTCTGGTAATGAACTAATATCAAAATTTTCAATTTCAAAATCTAGTTTAAAAATTATTTTGTAACAAAAATCGTTTTTAAGAAAAGAAAAAGTTTTAACTTACCATTTTCAATAAATTCAGAAAGAAAAACAACAAAAAATGGTGTAACAAGATCATTAATACCTTGAACATAACCACTAGCTGGATGACGAATTGCCCATATAAATAAAATACGTTCAAATAGTTCTTGCACAACTGTTTGTTGAAATATTGGCATTAATGGATTCATTCGTGGAATGTCTATATGAATCTAAACAATTAATAATTCAAATTATATATGTTTTCTTTTGACTAACATAAAGATCATCATACTATGCTCAGCTTGAAAAGACTCTCGCTGAAAATAGAAAAGTACTATTACGGTTAAGCCATTGATATAAACATGAATTTTCTAGACTTGAGCTTAGAAATAAATATGTCACAATACTCTATAAAATTGTTTCACACTTGGAGGAATTAATCTATTGAGTCCCATATTAGAAAAATATGGTACACATGTTTTATGATTATTTTTTAGAACATAATTTATAAAAATTGGTATGCAATCACTTGGGATAATGCACTGGAGAATCAACTAATTAATGGATAGATATACTTATATAGCGCTGTTTGTAAAAACTTTTTAGAATTTACTTTGCGATAATATATGATTGTACAATCAACAAGTTAAAAATCTGGAATTCTTGTCAACCATGTTCTCATTCTCTATATAATAAAAACATGAGACCCTTCAAAGAAAATGTTAAATTATTTCCAAAAGAACTGTAAACAAAGAATGTTCCAGATTTCTCTCATACTGTTTATAAAGAAGATATATATCCGTTGGGAGAGAAGGTTCTAAAACTCTCTCGAGTATTCCTTAAATTTAATATTCAAATGTAATCAAATTTACATTAAATCTTACATTGACTATAAATTACGTACATATGCATGAAGTATTTGTATTATAACTTAATATAATGACTTACTTCAACTCAATCCAGTAGATTTCATTTGAAACTCAAACTAGGAGTGTGATGAAATTATAAGCATTCGTAGTCATAGATTGTTGTTTAAGAAATCTAATTATTTTTTGAAACTTTAATTTATAGAAAAGTTCTTCGTACAAATCAAATTATGATATATCAAATGTTTGAAAAAAAAAACAATCATGTTTTATTTAAAACAGATGTTCGAAAAACAAGAATTTATTTTTAAATTTAATCACTAGACGTTCAAATTAGATTTATTCTAAATTTCTTTTTTGTGAGTTTTAATTCTCATGAAAATATATGAGGAATTGTAAAACCTGTAACATGTTTCTTCATTTATTTTTAATTAACAGTTCTATTGAATTTTGTGTCTGTATTTTTCAAAGAGAAAAAAAAGAAAGAATTATCACGTCTGTAGTTCTCAGTTTTTTAATTGATGAAATTTACTAGAGAATAACTTTTCCACATTTGAGCAATGAAAAAAAAAATATTTAACAAAGTTTTTTTTTCTTAATTAAATACCTGTCGAAATGTATCTTGATGTTCACTTTCAGTACGTGTATGATAATACTGACTAACATAACACCAATATTCATCACGTTTTCTTGTTAATGTATCTTCTCGTCGTTCAACTTTTGGTGGTAAATAACCCTAAAATAAGCATTTAATTAAAATAAAAACAAGACCAATAAAGAAATCAATTATACACAAAGTAATTTCCATGCTTGTGCTCGATATTGCTTTGGAATACCATTCCAACTTGCTTTACGAAGTTCATCTAAATAAAAAGAATATTTTATTGAAAAAAAAAAAGACTTATTTATGTTAAGAATTAATTTATACTGAGATCAATATTGCTTTGTTCGAAAATTTGTTTAAATTTATTTTCTTTTTGAATATCAATATCAGATTTTGTTACTAAATTCGATCTTGTATTACTTGTAGTAAGAGAAGAATTCGAATTATTGTTAGCAGTAGTAGTTGCATATCGAATAGGCACTAATGGTTTTATATTTGGATAATCACCAATTCGTCGTCCAATACCTGGACATGTTGTTAAACTTATATTTGCTGTTTTAACTGGTCTTCGTACTAGAAACAACAAATGAAATTACATAAATATTTGTGTAGAGATATGCCGTATTGACATAAAAACTGACAGTAAATTACCCGCACAGGATGCAATAGGTTACTGACACCTGTATTCGCTGCAACGTTGAAATACTAACTCTATCATAATATATCCTTTTTCTGTAGCAATGTGTTCCAACGCTTCAGTCTGCACTAATGAGAAAACGTTTTCAAATGATAAATCGCTCTCTTATCAAGAGCTAATCGATTATAAGATATCGATCAAAAGAAATTTCCTTCTGGTTTTCTATAAAATTGATACTTGAGGCAAACAAACATTTTGCCAAAATCGTTTTTAATCTATTCAGATTATAGAGCATATCGAATTGTTTATAAGTCAATGAACTTTTCTATTTTCTAAAAAAGTTTCAAGTAAAATAGTATTATCTTGAAGGTTTTTCCAATAAGATATTGATATGTATCTGTTGTATGAATTAAAATAGTTGTATTTTCTGTAGAAAAAAAAAGATTTGTAACAGAAAAAAATGCTATTTTGTTGACAATTCGATATGTTCTATAACCTAGATTGATCAAGATCATTTTTTTCCGAAAAATTTGTTAGCCTGAAAAACCAGAAGAGAACTTCTTATGGTCATAATCGGGTATTAGTATAGTCGATAGTCCATAATCTGCTAGCTTTTAATGAGAAAATGATTGATCAGCTGAAGAGGTTCCTTCGTAAATTAGTGGTTAGTAAATTCAACTTGCATATCTCTAGGTCTATACAAGGATCTATTTTTATCGACAGTTATGATAACAACGAATGAATAGTGTAACTGTCATTTTTGCTTAACATTTATGATTAATAGGAAAAAGGCACTAGACCGTTAATTAAAATGACGGCTTTGCTGAATGAAGCTTTCTTTATCAATTAATCATAAATCGCACAAGAAAACCTTTCATAATAGAAACTACTCTTCTCTTTACAAATTCTTGCAAGGATCAAAAATAAACAAATTCGATTATGAATGAAATGGATATGGCATAGATAATATTATTATTATTAGCTCGGAATCGAACCTGGTTTAGGTATTGAAAGCTAATGATTTCGAAAAATCATTCATCTTTCCTTATAAATAAATTCTTCTCATTTGATTTCAAAATTTCTTCATCAGAACATAAAATTTATTGTAATATTAAGCATCAGTCCATAATATAAATCAATCATTCAGACATTTGTTAAATTTATAAAGCATATTTTAAAAAAATTAGATGAAATGAACTAGATGTTTAATGCTAAATCAAATTAGTTAACGTCATTTTATTTTTGTCAATGGAAAAAGAAAACAAGCTTCGACAAGCGAAGAAATTATTTTTGCTAAAGTCATTGGACTAACTACAACATAAAAAGAATAGACTCTCAGATTTTTACATGCTTTTATCAAATTATTATTGATACGTTTTTCGAATCTGACAGAAACCATTTATTTATTAGTTAGAACACACAAAAAATATCTCAAGATTATTATAATGCTTCAACATTTTCAAATGAAACATATACAGTTGATGTCAAAAGTTTTGCACAGCTTTCTTTTTAAGTCATGTAGTAAAACTAAACCTCTGCTTGAATGTCATAATGATCATAATAGTGTTTAATGATTTGTTCTTTTGTATTATATTATTCAATATCAATTATCATAACTAAACCTTGTTCAATAACTAATGAATGTTATTTGTCTGTGTGGTTCTATTCATAAAATAATCTATTGTGTAATGAACTGACATATGTTCGTTACTTGAGAAGGCATAATTATTACCTTTATTTAATCTCGAATGTCCTACATAATGAAATGCTTTTTTCTAATTTTGATGTATTGTGAATTTCTACTTTATTCAATACTAAATTCATAGGATACCAATTAAACACACTTCATGTAATTCATTCAAGTTTCTATTTCTTTTCATTTATTCAAGCGATATAAATCAGAAGTTATAAGAAAAGGATACACCTAAGATGATGAAAAAAAGTTTAACCTTGCATTTTTGATTTTTTTTTCTCTATTATGTTAAGCGTCTAGCTCAAATTCAAATAATGACTTTAATAGTCCATTATAGTTTATTTAATCTAATGTATTCTATACCAAGATTTCAAAGATGAAATATGATGATAACATTTCTAATGAAACCAGCACGGTAATTTGCAGGTCTCGAAAGTTATTTTTTAACAATGTCATTTTACAAAACACAAAATTCAGAATAAATTAAAGAGTCGCCACACTTTCTACGAGCTTTTCTTACAAAGTTAAAAGTATCAAAAAACGAATATCAGACATATTTAAGTCGATTCCTTTGATTAATTTCGTTTTTTTACGGTATTTGTGATGCTTTTAAGTTCTCAAGGAGAAGTCGTAGAAAATACAACGACCTCTCATTTTGTGCTCTTTAGAATATCATTGTTCAGAAATACCTTTTCAGACCTGAGAACTATCATGTCAGACTTTTTGAAGACCGTACCATCATAGTTCATCTGTAACAACTTGACATAGACTGCATTAAATAGAAAACTCCATCTGTTATTAAAATCAGTGTCTAGATCTGAGCTAGGCGCTTAAAATTATAGAAAAACAAATCAATAATACGTTGCTGTCAAACTTTTTTCTATCATCTTGCAACAGTATCTTGAAATACGTTTTTTAATACTGATTCGATGGCTCATCGAGTTTAGTCTATTTGATAAAACTGCTAAAGCTTGTAACAATGATATTAAGTTATTTCTTCTTTAGTACTTAAGTTCTGCTATACAAGTATATAATCATATTTAACTAATATTGCGTAGATTCACTACACTAATTAAACATAGGGTTTTGCATGAATACTACTCTTCGCAACTGGACTTGAATAGCTGCATCTAATACCCGGCCGGGACTAATAGACACTCGGCACATACTTCGATAGTCATAATGCAGTTTTCAAAATTTTATTTTATATGAAACAGTATACTGTTGAGTTTCTTTCCGCAACAGCAACAAAAAAGAGATCATATCAAATTCAACCAAAAAACAAATGATTTAGAATTCAGTTGGTGTCGTTCTGCTTCTAAAACCCGATCAATTTCACGAAGTATACGTTTGCTTGTTGCTAATGAGGTCGAAATAGAATACAATATTGATGTCATACATCATAATTTTCGATAGATACATGAATGCTATTTCCATCGCAATAGTACAGGGTTAGAAATAATAATATTCCAGGAGGGTAACCCTATGGTTTCAAATAGCATCAACAACAAATTTTATACCAAATAAAAGCGTGTCAAGAATGGGATTTATTAGTAATAAATAGTAAGGATTATGGCAACTTTTCAGTGTAGAATTAAGAAAGTTTCTAGAATTGTATATCATATCGGCATAGTCAAATTCATCGTGTGATGCAGTTCAAATTAGATTTTATTTTAAATAATGAATACTACAAAATTAATATTTATTTTCTTAAGTTTTGGTGAATGTAATCAATAATTATTATGGTAATCATTAGAGTTGTTTTCAGCACTCAAAGGAGATGTATACGAGTATAAAGGAGATTCATATAACTCAATGTTGGTTAAGACATCTGAAATCTGTATTTTCAGAGCTTCTTCGTAATAATGGTTATACTCCGTTTATGACAGTCTCTTTTTTTAGCTTCATTTTCGATTATTTTTTTCATGTTTCCAGGCTAGGTGTCGATTATTTTGTGATATTTATCATTTTGAATGAAGTCTAGTTTGAACTGCATTATAAAAAGAATTTGTCTATGACGATATAGCATGAAATTCTAGAAATTTTCTGATTTCGACACTGACAAGTTACCATAACCCTTACTATTTAGTATTGATAAATTCCATTTTTGACACCCTTTAATTTGGTATAAAACTTATTGTTGATGCTATTTGAAACCACAAGGTTACCTCCTGGAATAATATTATTTCCAACCCTGTGGATGTTCCTCTTCTTGTATTTAGTCACTTCGTCGTACGATTCATCATTATCTATAGATAAGTTTCTATTAAAATCGAATTCTGTTAGTAAAATAATATCACTTTCTAGTTCTGTGACTTACTCTCAAGAAGAATAAATGGCTCAGATTTAACACTTCAGTACTTTTAATATAAACTAGTTGTTTGACAAAATAAAAATATTTACGAACGTCGAGATATCATTAATTATTCAATCGGGTCTGGACCTAGTTGCAGGACACTACTTAAAACAGAAAACAGAGCGCAACTTCTGACCCCGAATGTATATCCTTTTGAATCTCTGAGTCTACGTATTTCATTTACATTAATTCGTTATTGTAAAAAGAAGAACACAGTATCAGAGGATGAAAATTCCTGTCAAGTGGCCATACATCACTTGCATAAATATATACGTTCAGTTTCTCTTATGATTACTCTTATAAATCTAATAATAGCATCGTTTTTTTTAACGTGTTATAGTAATCTAATTACCAGCCGATGCATCAAGTGTAATTTTATTTGATTGACTTTTCGATTTATGTTCTTGTATAACTTTTGATGCAACTTCATCAACTGCCTAAATAATTTAATAAAAGTTGTTTTGTTTTCTAGTTTGATGTAATTATTTTCTTATTAAACCTGTTTTGAAATGCTTAATAATTGTGTTTGATAATCATCGTCATTTCCATTATTATTATTATCATTATCGATTAGTTTTAAAGACATTGTTCCATCATCTATTTCCCAAGCATCATCTGTATTTATTGCATATTCATGAAATTTTTCTTGATCTTTTTTCTTTGACATTGATGGATTCGTTCCAATTGGCTTCCTAGATAATTTAAATAAATCAAAACAAATATTGTTTTAGTTTTACTTGTTTGAAAGTTTCGAGGAAAGTGGCGGATGTTGAGCACCGAAAACAGGTCTTTTATTAAAGAAAAAAAAAACATAATTAATATATTGATAAAGAAGAGCTTACCTTCCAGGTACTGTATGTTCCGTTTTCCATAAAGTCGGTTGTGTATTACTAGACATTGTACAATAATTTAATAGAACATAATGAAAATATCTTTAAAATTTAGTTATAATTTTTAGATATTATTTTTGATAAAAACAAATAAATAATATGTCAATACGATGAAGGACGTTAAGATATAAAAGAAGAACTGAAATAGACAATAAATAAACAATAAATAAGAATCGAATGATATATCATCATATAATAGGAAACTCTTCTATTGGATAAATTATTAGCCAATAGAAAATCAAAATTATTTTAATTTATTTAACAAGAAAAAGAATGTATTTTTTAAATTTAATTTTAATTATTAAAGAATAATAAATGAACTTTATAAAGATTAAAATTAAAATACTAAATAAAATGATCAAACCATTTCCATAGTTACGATATTAATGATGTCAAAAAATATTTGAAAACGAATAGTTTCAGTTTCTTTCTGATGGCTGTCGCCGATCTTGATTTACCTGTGGCACGTAATTAAGACGATTTTCATATTCTATTAATGATTCGATCTTTTGTTTTGTTTTATAGTCTTTCGATCAATCGGAAGATTATGACTTGTTCGCACATGAAGCACATCGTCTTATTGATCAACTTGTAAATCAATCATTAGCACATGTAAATGATACGAAGAAAACATTCGATGAAACTAATGAGGAATATAATATTCAAAGAGATCGGTTTGTTATATTAGAAAATGAAGCAAAAACAAAAGGACAAACATCAGTACGTTGGCCAAGTATTGCTGAATTTACCAATGCAAAAATTGGTGTAGAAAAAATCAATGAATATATTGAAAAAGTAATTAATTTTAGTCTTACTTTTAAGAATATTGTTTCTTTAAGCATAAAATTTATTCAATGTAATTGTATGACAAACAAGAAAAAGAATTTATTTTTGATAAACAACAGATGATAGTTTAGTTCCCCGTAATGAATTGAATGATGGTAAATAAATTATATCATATGCAAGTCTGACTCAATCAGGAGATGAGGTGTACAGAACCATTCTACGGTGCAGGATAGAGTAAACTAAAAGTTAGAAAATTTTTCTCAATTAAGGTACATCGTACGAAAAAAAGCTTACGCTGCACATGTCTACTAACGTGATATTATTTTGCTATTTATCACCTTTGGAGTCTTTTAACTCGGATAGACTTAAAGAAGACTGAGATAAAAACTTTGAAGCATAAGAGTTAGAGATGTCAGGTTAGCATTAGAATTACAATAGTGCTAATTCTTTAGGCATTAGTATTAAAATTAACCTTTATGCTTAAGTATTCTTTTCATTAGAAATAATTAATGCCAAGTTGTTAGTATTAAATAAACATTATTTTTTATTTTAATACATATGCTACTTGCGACTAAACTTCTGAGAGTTAATGGTTGAAAGTTTTTGATAACAGAACAAAGGTTTTCTTGACCCGAAGTAGTATTCAAAAAGAAGAATAACGGTTCTTTTAATTGTGAGTGTAGTCCTCAAAACAGAACAAAGGTTATTTCAATCGTGAGTGTCTTTCACAAACTAGAACGAGATTGTTTGAACTGGAAATGTTATTGTCAAAGCCGAACAAAGGTTCTTTTAGCCGTGAGTGTCATTTCTCAAAAAAGAACAAAGACTTGTTCAACTACGAGTCCCATTTCCAAAATAAAGCAAATGTCTTTTCACCCGGAGGTGCTAGTCTCAAGGATAGAACAAAGGCTTTTAAACTCGGAAGTGCTACTTGCAAAACAGAGAAGAATTGTTCGATTTTAAGTTTGAAGTATCCATCGATATATTCGTCGATAATCTATGCATTAGCATTTAAAATAATGTTAATTTAATGCTAACACCTTAGTATTAATTAATTCTAATGCAAATAATACTAAAGTATAAAGGTAAATTTTACTACTAATGTTAGTTCTAATACGACACCGCTAGTAATGGTAGAAGTTTTCCAGAGCACGACTCAGATTAGAAAATCTTCTCAATCAAGGTATAGGACACAAAGAAAAGCTTACCTCGAACATTTCTAATCAGAAGGGTATGTGAAATACGTAACACTCTCCTTCGTTTCACAGTCGTAGCAAATGTTCGTTTTTTTTCTTTAATATATCGAAAATTTCTTTTCTATTCTATTATAAAAATATTATATTGCAATATTCTCTTTTTTTAATCTTGTTTACCTAAGACCAACACTATAATTTGTTAAAGCTTTTATGTGATTTATTCAAAGGAATGGAAAACATCACCAGGTGGTTACGATAGTAGTTGGTTATATGCAATTGATTTTGTTGAACAAAAATCATTAGAATTTAATGATCTATACATATATCGAGTAAATATTTGTTTTTGTTATTTATTTATTTCTTAAATAATTTTTTTTTTCTATTCATCAGGTATGTTATTCAATACCGACACGACGACAACCAATACCAAGACAAACAGTTTCGATTTATTTTACAATTGATGTGTCAAAAGTAAAACCTAAAGTAAATAAATGATTAAAACTATTTTTCAAAAAAAAAAAAAATTATATTTATTTATTCAATTAGAATACAACAGTACAAGTTTCATTTGTATTTGAAACAATGAGAATTGTTTATCATCCAGGTGAATTTCGTTTTCGCCAGAATTGGTTACAAGATATTGTTTTATTAAAAGAAAAAATGATCAAGAATATTGATTTTTAAATTTTATTGCAGGTTTTTTTTTAATTATTATTTTTTTTCACAACAAAATACACATCCGTTAATATAAATAAAATAAAGAACAATGGGTGAATTAAAACGCACATATTTTCTGAGCAAAATTAAAAAGATAATAAAACAATGATTATTGACAAAATAAATATTAATATCAACTAAACCAATGTTACGAGATCTTAGAAATAATAACAAGAAATAAATAAATTAAAAAAAGAACCGTCTGTTAATACTGTGTAGATTTTTGTTCTAATATTTTTGAGACTACATGAAAGAACTGTAAAATTTTATCACGTTATTATGTGATTTTGCACTGGGATTTAATTAAAAAGTAGATGAATTCGATACGATTGGACGTTGAAACAAATGTAATGGTTCAGTTTGATCTGGCTCAGACTGATATTTACCTAGAATCAAATAAAACTTAAGAAAAAATTTGAAAATAGAGCCGAAGGTTAAGATAGATATCATTGAAACAAGCTGTTCGATAGCAGCGTTATAAAATCAAATGTCACTTTTTTTTATAGTGGATTTAAGGATAAAAACAATACAGATAAAAAGTTTTATTCGCTTTGCATAGTCTTTTACTTTATTGAGATTATCCAAAGCTGACAAATACTTTGAACATATTCAATCTAAGTTTCAGCGAAATTTATTGTAAACGAAATCTTTTTTGTAAATATCTTTCTGTTCAATTATTTCTTTTTCGCGAAATCGTTAAGTTTAGATTCATTGATAATCCTTTTGTGACAAAGACAGATTTTCTAGCTTCTAATTATGGTCTCTCAGCCTTAATCAAAGATTAGATGTTTACTTGATAAGCACAATCTACATGATTTGAAATCTACGAAGGATCTATTTTTTTCTTTAGACTTCTAATTCACTACTTATGAGGAAGTTCCTCAACTAATTAATCCGCTTTTGATTTGGACCAATGTAAATTATGTAGACCTTCAAGAGCTATGAATACTCTGAAAAGACTTCATCCTGCTAACTTATTGTTGCTGAAACACTGTATTTTCTAAATTAAAGAGTTGATTCTCTCAGGAGCATCGAAGAAACTAATTTTAGAAATTCTGCACAGTGATAGATCTTAAAGAGAATGGTTTGTTGTAAAAATTTGACAGTCTTTTATTTGCTTCTATCTTGAATTAACAACATAGAATCTACTAATGTATTTGTATGATGTAACCGACACGCTTTTTAACATAGACATCTCTTAAGATCTGAAACTTTCACAATAGATTATTCTGTTTAAGGTCTATCCCTGTGCAGAATGTTGAGAATCGGCTTTTTTCACTGTTTTATTAGAAAAACAACATCTTTGATTAAAGAGAATACCATAAAAATGCAGTATGTCGACAGCAATAGGCTAAAAAGACGAACTTTCTCCCGGATATTCATAACTCCTCGAGATCTATATAAGATAGATTATCCAGACTGAAAATCTATTAACCAGTTGAAAGACTTCCTTGTTAGTTTCATCAAATGAGAGAACTACTCGAATTGATATCCGTCGTTTGATTTCATATTGGATTCACAAGGAGGTTTCGATATGCTAGAAAAATCGTAAACGAGTTCATACCCATAAGTCTCAGAAGTCGAATTATCACCGTTTTACTGAAGTTTTGATTTAGCTTTAGGCATTTTTTGAACAACTAAACAACTGTATTTCGATCTGAAATTTAGCTCATAGATAGGTCTGACAGCTTTGTAAATATTCTGAAAGTTTCAGTCGAATAACATGTTTCTTTGTCGAGATATTGAATTTAAAAAAAAATAGTGACTTTTCACAAAAATTCGAATTTGCTTAAAAATTCAATATCTTGACAAAGAAACATACTTTTCCACTGCAACTTCCAGGATATTCTCAGAGTCATTACGGTAATCTACGTATGAAATTGCGGATCGAAGTTCAATTATTTGATTTTTTCGTAAATATCTAAAAGTGGATCGAAAATTCAGTAAAACGGTCATAACTCGATTCTATAGACACATGAGCACGAGTCTTTTTAGAATTTTTCTAGTCCTACGAAGACCTTCTTATGAATCCAATAAGAAGTCAAACGAGGTATATGAGTTCGGATATTTCCGTCGTAAGTAACAGCGTTGAACATATGTATATATAGTGTTGACTTTAATATTCTCTGTCGAATACAAAATGAATAAATACAAAGATCTAAAATCACTACTTGGATTTTTAATTCTTTAAATTCTATTTAAATTTAATATTTCTATAAATTTTCATTTCGAAACCAATTGCATAATAGTTAAACTTAAACAGTTGATCTTTTTTCTAAGCAGATATTATTTTTCTTGTTTACTCAATTTTTATTTTTGAACACTTACCGCTGAGTATTTTCTTTTTGAGCAATGATATTCGATATCCATTACAAGCAAGATCACAATCAATTGATGAAAAAAGTGCGTTTTCACCATGAAAATAAGCATTTACAATCGATGATGTTGTTAATGGTTGTTGCTGTTGTTGATCACTATCATTATCAACTGTATTCTTTTCCATAGTTATTATTGTTGCTGATAAATTTCCTGTTCCATTATTTACATATGGAACTTTCCACCAAAGTTTACATTCATTCACAGACCTATTCATAGAAAACATAATTCAGTCATCATTTGAGAGAAAAAGAATCATTTACCATTCAGCAGTCGGTGATGATTCTTTTATTTCTTGTCCATCTGTGACTATCGTATAAAATATCACAGTATCATTATTTATTCGAATTGAATTCGGTAAAGCTGAACTATTGAAACTATATTTTATATTTACTGAAATAGTATTAAATGTACGTGTCCATTGTGATGATATTTGAATTGGAATGTTTGATACATCTGAATGTGTTACCTTTTAAAAATATAAATTAGAAGAAAAATAAGGAAAAAATTAACGAACTTCATAATTGAGCACATTAAGATTAAAAAAACGTGATGAAAGATTTTTTTCCTGTAAATTTTGAAGAGTATTATGTAATTCTGTCATATCAAACGAATAAATTGGTTCATTTGAATCCGTTGATGATTCATTTCTATTTAATCAAAAAACAAAATATAAATATTAAATTTAAAAAAAAGGAAAATGTTTGGTTTTTTTTTGTTTATACTGTGTTATTAATGAAGGTTTTGCAATTATATTTTTAATATGATGTAAATTTTTCAATTGAAATTGTAATCTATTTGAAATATGTGATGGGTCAATAAGGAGATTTAAAATCGAAGCTGGAAATGAAATGAGCATTTCACCAACAATTTGACTTTTCCAACTTAAAAACAAATTAAAAAATATGATTAAATGAAAATGAATTTTTTTTTGTCTTTACTTTGCTTGATTATTTCCAGATATCATAACATGAATTATTTCTTGAAAAGCAATTGCAAGTGGAATTTGATCCATAGTATCAAGAGTTAATGGAGACATTGTTTGTTCATGAGATGCTATTGGAGTATTACGTAAATTTTGATTAATTGACGTAATTGATGGACTAACAGTAGTCCATTTTGGTTGTTGTTGTTGTTGTTGCTAAATAGAAGAATAGAAAATAAAAGTTTCATTTGGTTATTAAAGTGAACTGATCAGTGCATTAGAAGAAGGATATAAAAAGCTTGTTAGCGCAGCTCCTCCGGAGCTAAAATGTGGAACTCACGTATACTCTTGTATCTTTCTGAAGCAATGCATCATGTATAATATGAAACTCTTCGCCTAAGCTGTAATTATATTCAACAACAGTTGGTGACAACATCCGTTCTTGAATATGAATTTCTAGATTAAGAACAGAATTGTTTTGCTTTTCGTTTGAGCGCGCCTACTTTTATTTATTATAGTTGCTATATACTCCCACTAAGTTATTTTTTTTTTATTTTTTTTATTTGAGATTTTTTATTTTCTTTTTTAAATAACATTTAATTATCTCGAGAATCAGATGGTTGCAACGATATACTAAATATGCCATCGATTACGCTTAATACTCTCTGATGTATTTGAATGAAATCATAAATGATAATATGGTCTTTTTTTCGAATTGATTAAATGATTATTATTAAAATGATAGTTATTATAGAGCAATATATAATTAGTATTCACTGTTAATATTTGACATACAAGTATTGCTTTAAAAAAAGCCGACAACTACACTTTATAAAACATTAACAATTTTTCTATAGCTTATTAAACAATGATGAAATCATTTAAACAGTGTTCATCAGTCGAACTTATATATTCTTATGTCATGCAATATTTTTTATAAATAAGTAAATTTGAAGCTTGTTATGGGCAGTTGCTAGAGTCTGTAATGGGGGTATGTCTGTAATGTTCTCTTTCCCGTTGCTATGTGTCTGTAATGGGGTGGGGGTAGGGGGAGAGGAGGAGGGGAGAGCCGCGAAACCTCGACTTAAAACTTACACTCACTATTTTCTTCGAAAATATACGTGAGTTCCACAAAAGAAGATTTTCATCATTTTACAACTAAAATATTTGCACATTGATGTCTATAAAATAATATAAATGTTGATCTTTTCTTCGTTCGTATAAAAGATCATTCGTGTTTATGAATGATCATAATTCGAAGTCCTTGAAATTTTTGTATGCAAAAAAAAAAATAGACTCTGCATTTTTACAAAGATCAATGTAAAGTTGGATAAGATCTATAATTATCTTAACAGCTCTTCTAATCAATTTTATGGCAATATGACCTAAAAATGCATATTCTATGTTCCTATTTCGTCTTTATTTTTAGCTTCGGCTATTACTGTTTATTCAATAAACATTTCTGCATATTTAAGAAAAGACTAGAACACAGTCGCTATAACTCGTGCCTAAAGTCATTCGTTAAATCTCATTTGTATGCGTTTGTTGAGCATAATTTAATATTTGACGAAGAAAATTCCGATCGATGTTTATTAATTATATCAAGTATAATATTATTTTAAAATAACATTCTGACATATCCTACCAAAGTTTCAATAAAATAGAAAAAACAGAAAATTATATTCACTGATATAGATATTTATTTCGATTAAATATAGAAAGATAAGTTTACGAAACAGTTCGAATGCATTTTAAAATGAATTAGATAATAAACGCTTACATTTGATTGACGTAAAGAAGGTGCTTGCAATCGACGAAATGAAATTGTTTTACTTGTTGTAAAATCTTCATGAGGAAATGAATTAGCAACTTCTGTATCGTCATCAGTAGATGATATCGATGTTGTATATTTGCCTAAAAAAATGATTTATTAACATGTTGTTGACAAGATATCTATGTACTTTCTATCGTCGATTGTAGAGGAAGAACTAGATCTTCTTGATTAGTTGTATATGTGTTAGTCGAATGTGTATGAGACCGATCGAATTCATCATGTGGTGGAAACATTCTTGAGTGATCGGTATTATCTGTTGTTATACTATTTGGTATAGTGCTATAATATAAATTGAGAAATATTCCTTATTCAAAAGAAAAAAAAGTAAAAATCTCTTTGATATACGAGGTTGCACGTAATGGAATGGGTGGTGGAGGCATTCTTGCACCAATCGGTTCAATTGATAATGATCTGTTCAAATCTGCCGTTCTCTACAAAAAAAAAAAGAAGCAAATAGAAAATTTTAATTTGAGATTTTGTTTCAATTAATTTACGTTTGTCGATCCTTTAGATGTTGTTAGAATATTTCCCATATTTTTATCAATAAGACGCATTGCATTAACAATTTTTGTTTCATCATCTGTTTCTGATGACATGTGTGTTTTTGGATTTATTTTAAAATCAATTTTCAGCATTAAATTATCATCATCGTCATCGTCATCATCACTACTTGAATCAGTCGAAGTTGATATTTTTGATGATGACATTGGTTTTTCACTATGACAAACTTGAAGCCTGTGATCATTTTTTACGATTGAATTTGATTGAATATATGGTTCCGGTGTTGCCTGTTAAATACGAACGACATTATAAACAAAAACAATTTATATAGTAAATATTTACACATTTAGTTTTATCAATATTGAAAGAACTTGACACAGAACCATTTTTCTTATCAATTTTTTTATTAAAACCATCGATTTCATGATTAGTATTTTGTAAATTAACTCCATTTAATTCGTCACGTGATTGATCAACTTGTGAAGTTTTAGTAGATGTAGCATTTGTAGATGATTTTTTTTCAGTTTTCTTTTCTTTTTTATCTTTACGACTTGTGCCAAAAAATCCTATTGTATAAAAGTTTTTTTTTTTTCTAATTTAAAATTTAATCTTAGAGCGTACCTGAAAATTTTGGTCTTCTTATTTTGACATCAAATGGATTCGATGTTTGCTCAATACTACTATTTGATTCTTGCGAACGAAACATTTGATTGTTAGACGTCGTGACATTGACAGATGTTGTCGTTATGTTTGAAGTAGGAGATATTATTAGATTATGTGATGATGAATTTGAATGATTAGCAGCAGAATGTGGTGAGAATGCTAAAGAAAAAAGAATAAAAATAAGAAAACGAATTATTTATTGTTGTTGATTTTTTTTTTGGTTTATTCTATTATTAAGCTAAAAAAAGCTTATTGATTAATTGAATAATTAATGTGATAACCTAAGCAATGCAGCTATAAAATTCTCGTGTCAGAAAATAATATGCTTTCTATTCATATATATGTTTTCTTTCTGCCATTGTTAATATTTGCTTGAATGCACGCTTATATATATATATTATACAAACCGTGAAAAAATTGATGATAGTGATGTCGAGCTGAATCAATTGATTCATTTTTCAGAAAAGTAATGAGAAAAAAAAGAAAAATCATTTTTTTGTGTTTTTTCCTTACCACGAGTATTATTATTATTATTATTATTATTATTATTATTATTATTATCACTATTTTTTGTATTTGATGATGGAACAGTAAAATGAGCATGAAATGAAGGTACGCTTGGTTCTAATTGATCAAATACATTTGAATCCTCATGACCACTAAATGTATCAGGCGTATTGGAATTTGTTGATGGTATTGATGCTCTAAGATTATCAACTTCTTCAATTTGTAAAACAACTATAGAAATTAATCGAAGAGTAAAATTTATTGATAAAAGAAAATAATTCTTTATTTTGTTTTCTACCTGGTCGATCTGTTCCTGTTTTTTTTTGTTCGACAAATGCATCTAAAAGATCATTTCCACTAAATGATTTTAATTTATCATTAAAATCATTTTGTGCTATTGTTATTTGTTCATGATTTCGTTGAAGGGTTTCAGAAAAATTTAATGAAAAGAGAAGCATTTTTTCGACATGATCAATTTCAAAATCTTGAAATTTCGTACAAGCTAAACAAAATTAGACAAGATTTAAAAAATATTTTATTTTAATAGAATAAAATTTACCATCATGAAAACGTTTTTCGTAATCATTTCTAATTATATTATATTTTTCAATTGCTAATTTATATTCATCCAGAGCAAGTCGAGATTTTTTTTCTAAACGTTCTATTTTATTTGCTGCTAAGGCATTTAATGTTGTCTGAGCAAGACTTGGTGAATTATTTTCTTGTGATGTAGCTAATGATGAATTATTGAATAAATTATTTCCAACACGTTTTGCTCGTTCACAATCTAATGTAATCGAATGATATTGTTCTTTAGCTTTATTAACTATATGTAATGAATTATTTAATTGTGGTATAAGTTCAGCTGTACGTAATATATCTGCATCCTTTTGTATGTGTGTTTTAACTTTTTTTTGATATAAATCTTGATAACCATGAATATCACGTAATAATTCTTGATAAAAATTCAGAGTTGCTGAATGTGTTGAAGAAATTTTATCGAATAGATCACGTATTAAATTCCATATGGGGGTAAATGTGCCCAAATATTGGTTTTTAATTAGTTGTGATTGTAAACGAGATAGACTTTTATAGTATGCTGATTCACACTGTGCACTAAAGAAAGAAAGAAAGAAAGAAAATCACCTTTCAATGAATACTCTGCATACTTGAAACCTTTCGTAAAGACATTAAAAAGTTCTGTTTTTCATTTTAATCAAAAGTGTTATTTTATTTAGAAATTAGTCTATATAAATTTTGCAAGGTTTCTTGGGCTCTTCGTTTATACTTCATAATTTATTTTTCGAAATTTATCGACATTTTCTGATAACCTCTCTAATATTTCTCAACATCGAGATAATGTCTTACATACAATTTTCTTCTATTATAAATGCTTTCTTATTTTTATCATTTTTTCTGGTATCCTTGATTTTGTAAGACTATCCTTAAAGGAAAAAACAACCCCTTATGCTATTCGATCGAGTCAAGAATATATTTTGGTATTTCTACTATGTATTTGACATACCTTTCATTAAGAAATCGTTGAAATTCTTCAATAGCTATTGCACCATTTTTAACATTACTTGATAACACCTCAAAACCCCGATTTCCTTCGCCCCAAAAATATTCACTCCAATGAACCATCTAAAAGTTTTATCGAAAATACTGAAAAAACAGAAAGGAAAAAACTATAATTACTTTTCAACCAATGAGAAGCTAAAACGCTATGCATTATAGAACGATTTTCATCGATTGTAGCGCGGAGTAGATATTTGGTACGTATATTATATATATATATATATATCTGGGTCATTTTTATCTTCTGTTCTTATCGTCGCTATTTCTGTTTATGTTATATTCAGTATTAAAAAGAAAAGCAATATTATTATGTTTTAATAAGAATACTGAATGGCGGAAAAAAATCTACGAACATTAACATCTGGAAAAATGGCTACAACATTAATGGCTTATGCACAACTAGAGATTGATAATAGTTCGACTTGTATACCCAGGTATATTTTATGGGAGATTTCTTTTGTTTTAATAAATGGAATTTTTTTTTTGTTTTTATTTTTAGACTTTGTAAATTTAGTATTGTTCGTGTTGTTTTAAATCGAACGATTGATGGTGGAGATTCAAATGCAATTGTTGTGGCTGTTAAAATACAAGTAAATATTAGATCGAGAATTATTGATATAAATTAATTGATGATTGTTTTTCTTTTTGCTTGATTAGAGCAATAAAAGAACATTTCGTTGTTGTGAAATACCACTTCAACAAGATGGAACATTAGATGCACCAGTTAATCTTCAATATTTAATTACTGTAAATATATTTTTTGTTTTTTTTTTCAAAACGAAGAAAATTTGTTTTGATTTTTAAATAGTATCCTCATTACTTTAAACGAGATATTAATAAAATTCAGATATATATTCAACGACGAAAAAATCGACCAATGATTGGTTATAAAACATTAGCCAGTGGTGAAATTAATCTGAATGAAGTATGTTTATATTTACAATAGTAATCAAGATTTTTGACATTTTTTCGTCCCGGAATAATTTACGATTCTTTTCTTATTAGTACCACTATTATTTTCGAAGTAGAGCTACATTAACATTCTTATTCTTGAATTAATTTTGACATTCATCATCATAATTATTAAAGATTTTAATGTTAACAAAGGAACCTGATTTCTAAACAATATATAGTAAAAAAAGAAACAAAAAATCTTCTTGAGTATAGCAAAAACATTGCACAAATAGAATTATATTTATTGAAGAGTAGTGATGCTGTATTTCGAAGTCAAATTAATCGATTCATCTAATCATATTAACACTCTAATGAAAAGTGGACCAAGAAGAACATTATATAGACAATTTGTTCAAGTTGATACAACTGTCGAGTATTTTTCATCGATATAAAAGATTTCTTCTTGTTCTCAATAATATAAAGAATTTTGATCAATCCATAAAAAGCAACCTAAATAAAGAATTCATTGAAGTACCCTAGTGATTGGTATGCCAAGACAAAAAAAAATATAATTTTATTTTCTGCTCGAGAAATCATTTGACTATTGTTGACGACATTAACCAATAATCTCACGAGATTTGCCTATTTTTAATTGATAAAAAACATTAATAAAAAGAAATATTGAATTCTCTCGTTAAGGTTATACAACGACCACAAAGCTTAGATTTGCATTTATTTTCGAGTACTAATGAAAAAGTCAAACAAAATGTACGGTCACCTATTCATGAGGATAATTCAGGTGGAGCAATTGATGATATACAAAAACGTCCTATTGGATATGTATCAATTGTATCATTGTCAAGTACAATACCAACTGAATCAACTGATCAAACAACAATACGTTCAAAATTTGGATTATCAGCAAAACGACATCATCATCATCACCATCATCATCGTACAGCCGATTTTGGTGAGTACTGGAGGATTTGAAAGTTTTTAGACATGATGTTTGTTCATTTTTGACCGATGAGAAAGTGTTTCCAACGAGTTAAAAGCTATGATTTTTGTGATCTTATCGAATGTGAGACTAAAAGTTTTGTTCGAAAGTAGTGAAATAATATTTAAAAAGCTGAAGAAATTTGTGTAGACAGGGCTTGAGGGCCCACGTTTCTGGTGAATATGTTTGTTCATTTTGGTCTGCTTGAAAGCACTTCAGACAAACTAAAAAAATACAGGCCACGACCAGAATTTTGTGCTTTCTGAGAGTATGAGCTTAGAGATATTGTGTCTATTTTTGTTCAAGAGTAGTGAGAAACATTTGAAAGACCTAAAAAATTATTTTCAATACAAAACCAATCAATTTTTTATTTTCCTGTAAGTCCCTTTTGGAACATGCAAAACATTGTTGAAGCCAGTTGTTTTGCAGAGCAAGCATTGTTCTATAAAAGTTGACAATGAACTAACAAGGGAACTCTTTCAGTTCTGTCCTCGTGGTCTCAATGGCATTTTGTCTATAGATACTGCATAGCGTTTTAATAAAAAGCTCTGGAATATTTGGGTTTATATTGATATTTGACTAAGTTATCGAATTGTTAATATGTCTATTTCCTAGAAGCCCCAAGTTTTCAGAAAAATCGTATGTCTGAATTTTTTTTTTCTGAAATTTTGTGCATATACAGAACTCAATTAGACTAGTGTACATAAAAAAATTCACAAGTTTTGAACAGTCTCTTTCACATATGAGACTTTCATGACATAGGCCGTTTTCCATGACTAGTGTATGTAACATGCATATTTTGAAAGCTTTATATCTCGAAGAGACTTTCTTCTAAACTTCTGAACTTTTTTATATAAGCTAATTTTGTTGAGTTCTCTATATATACAAAGTTTTAAATCAAAATTCGAAAATATGAGTTTTACAAAAACGCTGAGGCCTAGACAATAGGCATATTAATAATTCGATAGCTCAGTCGCATCTCAATATGAGCCCTCATCCTTTTAGGGTTTTAATTGGAACACTAAATAGTATCCATAGGCAAAAAAGTCAATAAAACCAGAAGAGAGTACTTGAAGAGGCTCCTTCGTAACTTGTAGCCTTTATCCAAGCATTTTTTCAAGAGTCTCTTTCAACGTAAAATTGTTGTCGGATTTTCAAAAATGAGTATTTATGAATAACATTAATAGCATATTTTGTCGGGTAGGTTCAGATCTACAAGGTGATATATAAATAAAGATCGCAACTTTTAGTTTCAAATTGTAATAGTGAAAATACAAAACATTTCTCATCCAAACTAATTTTTTGGACTTTGAAATGATTATTGCACGACTTTCAAACAAAAATTCTAATTCCATCTTTGAAAAGAGCACAAACTCATAGCTCTTGATTCGTCGGAAATACTTTCTCAGGGGTCAAAAGTGCACAAATATCTCATCTAAAAACTTTCTGATGAACTATTAAAAGAAACAAATAATATATTTTCTTCTTCGAAATTCTTCTGTTTTTTTTCTTCTTATTAGATAAATCATTAAATGATGATGATGAATATATTGAAGAAGAAGAAATAAATTCTGACTTAGAAGATAGTGATCTTGAACTTAATTTAAAAACTAAACAACAAAAATTCAATACTAATATATTACGAAATAAAATAATAAAAATGTTTAAAAGAAAAGCAAATCAAACAACAAATAATCCAAACCGTAATACAAATACAACAGCAACAAATACCACGAGTTCATCTCATGAACATCATGGATTTATATTTGATCGACAATCTGATATCGAAGAAGATCAATTATCAGATATAAGTGATAGTACTATACCAGTTGATCAATGGAGTATTGAATCTGTACCTAAACCTGGTTTTACACCTGTTGAACAATTACAAGTACTTAAATTTGTAAGTTTAAATGAAAAAAATAATCAAAAATAAATAGTTTTATTTATCATTAGTCCGAAGATGATCCTGCTATGACAAGAAAACCAACAAATCCATTTGATAGTAATGATAGTCTATTAGTAAGTTTACAAAAAAAAATTAATTCGTCTTAATTAATAATATCATAAATAAAAAAAAAAGGATTCGGATGGATCCGATTTGGGAATAGATGTTGAACGAACAAATATGCCGCCACCAGCAGTAATGTCAATACTTGAAGAAAAACCATCACGTCCTCTTACCACAGTTCGTTTTGTTTTTATTTCCTTGTTCTTCTTTATTCAAACAAAATTTTTTGATTATTTAGACTGTTCGTGATAATGCTGTTAAACAGTTAGATGAAATTTATATAAATGATCGTCTTCCAGAAACTGTTATTTTTCTTTATACAGGAATTAATCAAGCAAATGTATGTTTTGTATTTTATTTTTTTTTTAAATTTATTTTCATTAATTTTTTTAAATAGATAAATGCATCAAAATTTAAAGAACATAATCTATCAGTTATTTCACTTTCAACTTTAGTTGATGCTAAAGCTGCTTTAAATAATTTAATTCAAAGAATTCAAAAGAAGTTTGAGAATTTTTCTTGTTAATATAGAATTACAAAGAATAAACTTTGGTTTTTTTTTCTCTTTTATTAGTATCAGTCAATCACAACAAATCCCTATTTTACGTATTGTTTTACTTGGTAATGATGCATTTATTAATTCATTTCTTCAATCATATGTCGAATGTTTGGCATCAAGACCACATGAATATATGAATTATTTTCGTTTTTATTTTGTTCCATTAAGTAATTGAATAGATATGATTTTTTCTTTGTGATTTACAAGTTTCCATGATTTTATTTTATAGCTTTTTCCTATTTGGCGAAATTTCTTGGAAGTTTAGATTCACAATATGGATTATTATTTGGTGGAACTGAATTATCGAATGAAACTATAGGTAAAGAAAATTTTTCAATTACAAAAATAAATTCTTTTCTTTGTTTTTTCAATTGTTTAGATATTAGAGAATTATCACAAAAGATTACACGATATTTAAAAACATCTCAACGAACACTTGCATTACCTGTTGGTGAAGTGATGCTTAATCGTAAAGGACGATTGTAGGTTTTACTTTTTATTTTATGAAAACATTAATGCTCATGAGATCTGTTGACGACAAAATTGAAAACCGTTCCTTTCTTACGAGGAAACCTATCCAATAGTTGAGTGCCATTCGACTTCAT